CCCCAAAACCCCAAAACCCCAAAACCCCTAATGTAAAATTTTAGAAATATCAGTTTATCTTTGAATATAAAAGTTATTTACCAATTGAATTAATAAAATAATTAAGAGATGAGTGAAATCAATTACTGACCTAAAGTTTAGACACCTGGTTTGTTTCTGCATGCAATTAACAAAGATTTTGCAATTCATTATCATCTAAATTTTACTGAGTAACTTTTTCCAAAAATTCCTTGAATTAAGCATGTTCTCCTTTCAACTATTAATAGTTTAGTGAATAATATTCTTACAAATTTGACATAGAGCGTATAGCCATGAATATCAGTGTCAAAATCAAATTGGTCATCTTCATTCTTTTTTTTCTCCTCAATCTTCAATTTCTTATAATCATTAGAGTTTTTAAATTCTATATCTAATTATCCTACTCTTTCAATTTCTTATTGTTTAGTGGCTTGTAATTATTATAGACATGACAATATACCCTTCGCAGCCTTCACTGCATACTTATTCTTCCATAACAAATTAAATTATTCAACAACTTGCAAGAAAGTTATTAAGTTAAAGTATCCGAAGTTGTATTAGTAGACAGCAGCTAAATCAGTATCATATTTGTTGAAGTGCTTGATTACATAGTTAAATATTTTCAACGCCATGACATAATTTTGCTTCTTTAGATATGCATTTCCAAGTTCGATCTCATACCATAGTGACTCCAACTAAAATGAATTGAATTCTCCAGTGTAAGTGTTTTTGCTGAATGGAATCATAATTTCATAAGCTTCATCAATATTTCCTAATCTCAGTTAGCACTTAGTTGAATAAGTGCTGAAATATCTATCTGATTTATCTAGGTTTCTAGCTTTCTCAGCTAATTATCGCTGCATTTCTATATTCTTCAAAAGACCAAATGCTTTCGAAATTACAAAGTATAAATCAGCATCATCTCTCTCATGCTTTAAGGCCTCATTTGCACTTTTATTTGAGTTTTCAACATTATCAAGATAAGCGTAATGTTATGCTAAATAGGCATGAATCCATTGTTATTGTTCTTCTGTGGCATCAGCTAATCTTGAATTAAGTTAGTTTGAAATAGCAGTAGTCTTTTCTTGGTGATTAGTTTTACTGTTGTACAATCCTTTAAGCTAATTCAGAAATGCTGGAGAATTTTTATTAAGCAAATAATCAGCATAATTTTTGAAGCTATTCTCAAAATTTTGACCTGTTGTTGCTTTAAGTAATATCAAATGTTTGTTGCTTGATTTTCCATATTTCTCAACTAGTTCAATTATCTTATCCTATTACTCTTGAGTAAAACTTGAATCAAATGAAATTCCCTGAAATCCATATAGCTAAAGTAGATCCAATAAATATCTTAAATTTGCTGGGTTAATTTCCAATAATTTTCTATTAAGATTTATTTTATCAATTTAAAATCTTACTCTAATCATGAATGAGCATTATCCTTATCTCCTGCCTTTCTATATAGTCTAGCCAGTCTTTCATTTAGCTACACTTGATCAATTACTCTGCCAGGCATATTTAAAAGTTTAATTGCTGTTTATAATTGCTCATTGTCTTCAAGAATTTGGGCTTCAAACAATGTCATCTCTGAGGTGTGATGTGGCTTTATTTTTTCTTTAGTCCCTTTGAGATTTCTTTCCAAAGATTGCAATACTCCTAATGCTTCACTGTATTGTCGATTCTATAATCATAAAATTTGATCTTATAAGTACCAGGTAATGGCCCATTGCCAAAGATATCCAACTCGTAATCGATTTAGATTTTTATACTAGTACCTCCTTTCTAATATCAATGTAGCTATTGTAATTCTTTTAGAGTAAGTACAGATTAGATAACTCTTCAGTGCACCCTTTAAGTCCATCTTCATCAACTGGAAAGTACTGTCTTGCTCGAAGATATGCTTTTCTAGCTTCATCTAGATTCCTATAGGATGATTGATTAATGCTTATATTGTAAAAATACTTTTTTGTCATATGGTAATTTGCTAATGCGAACCATAAATGAGGATCTGCAAGATTTTTCATCAAATGCTGATTAATGAGTTTATAAGCTTCATCTGATCTATTTGCAGTAGACAAATTTATTGCTTTTTAAGAGATAGTAACTAAATTTTATTAGGAGTTCTAATAGCTTACAAGTATGATCAGGATGCTTCTCAAGAATTTTATCAGCTATTTTAAGGCAATTTGTGATTTCTTACGACTTTCTTAGTTCCTAAATTTGCATTAACATTCCTAAAGATTTTAAGTACAAGCATTTGTTTGAAGAGTGATCTCTCCTTAGTTTTGAATCCTTTAAGATCATTTTCCATCGTTTAGATATTATATCTTTTAAATAAATTAAATTTATTCCTATTTGATATATTATTTACTCTAAATCGCATGTTCATCATTACGGGGTTTTGGGGTTTTGGGGTTTTGGGG